AATAAGGTTCAAATTGGCCACTGAACGTAACCTGAAAATGCAATTAGGCCACTGAACAAAAAAAAAAGTGCAATTAGGCCATTGAATACTCCAAAAACGTGCAATTAGGCCACTGAACTCTCCAAACGTATACAATTTCACCGAATAGCAGATTACCATCAATTTTAGCAGGTTACCTGCTTACATGGCAGCTTAGTTGGCATTTTTAATAATTTTTAAATAATTTTTAATAATAAATTTTATAAAAAAATTGGAAAAATTTAAATAAAAAATAAAATAAAGTCGTTTTATTTTTTAAAAAATTTTTTAATAAAAATTTATTAAAAATTAATTAAAATTTATTAAAAATGCCAACTCAGCTGCCACGTAAGCTGATAACCTGCTAAAATTGAGGGTAACCTGCTATCAGGTGAAATTGCACATTTTTGGAGTGTTCAGTGGCCTAATTGCACTTTTTTTTCGTTCAGTGGCCTAATTGCATTTTCAGATTACGTTCAGTGGCCAATTTGAACCTTATTCCTTAATGATTTTAGTTCTCTTATGAAAATACTAGACTCAACAAATATAATGCTCTCTTCTCAATAAAAAATCGAATAAATCATCTACAAAGATAATCTCCCATGTACTAAGAATTAGCTGGGATTTTTAGAATTCTGTCCAAAATAACTTCATCTATCATAATAGGTAGGGATGAGCAAAATAATCGGATTGACAGAAAAACCGATCACCGATAACCGAACCGCCCAAAATTTTCGGTTTCGGTTATATAGTTGAAAAAAAATCGGTTATTTCGGTTATTTCGGTCGGTTATCGATTTTTTTCAAAAAAATTAATAACCGACCGAAAAACCGAGGCTTAATTTATATAAAAAATGAAGTCTAGTACCCAAACTAATTCTAATAAATAAATAATTCCAATAATTAATCCCAAACTAAGGCAAAAATATTATGCAATTGTTGACTGTTACTGTAACTTAAAAGCCATTTTTAGTTTCAATCGTTATGCTGTGGAACCGTGTCCACATTGCAAGGTGAACACAGTTCTATGTTCATAATTATTGAACTATATGTTCATAATTATAAAGTTATATATTCATAATTATTGAACTTTATATTCACAATTACATAACTCTATGTTCATAATTATAAAACTATATATTCATAATTTTTGAACTTCATATTCACAATTATTGAATCTTTATATTCATAATTACAAAATGATATGTTTATAATTATGTTCACAAATCTATATTCATAATTATAGAACTATATTTTCATGATTTTTGAACTATATATTCATAAATTATGAACAGTTTTGGAAAACATAATTTGCTGTTTAGTTTTAGCACTGTAGTAAGCCACAGGAAATGTAATTTACATGAATAAGTGATTGTTTGGTCCTAGACTATCTCAAAGAGAAAATGGTTAACACCATGTGAACAAAGTGTCATATCTGTAGATTCTATTTCTCCGGTCAGTATTAATTCTATGATTTCATGTTCTTGGTTGGCATAATTTCATGTTCTTGGTGGGCATGATGCCAAGAGGCATGTGATTTGATAATAGCACCCCAGTTTATGTTGCTACTGGAAAAATATATAAGGTCAAAAAGTATATGGCTCCACTCAAATAGCTAGATATTTTCACATCTCGAACGAACTGTATATGTTTAATTACCAGGCAGGGACATTCATCTAGGTTGGCAGCTCTTGATTATACAGTTTGCCTCTACCGTGAAGTTTTTTGTCACAACACAAGGTGGTAACTTCCAGCATTTCTTAGTGGGTCATAGACGCTATTTTAATGGAGGACATGACAAGACAATCAAACTTGAGCGTAAATTAATTCTTCATAACTGACCGAAAATTTCGATTTTCGATCGGTTCGGTTATGAGAAGTGCTTCGGTTATTTCGGTCGGTTATGAGAAAGTTATAAAATTTTCGATTATTAATCAAAAACCGACCAAAACCGACCGATGCTCACCCCTAATAATAGGGACTAAATACACCACATTGGTGACTAATTAAGAATGACATTACAACTTTGAATTAATTAGTGATGAAAATTACGCATGTCATTCATCAATGACTAAAAACTGTTAATTTTCTTTAAATTATCATAGTAAAATATTTATTTTAAAAATCTATAAAATAGAAATTATGGTTAAGAAATAAAAGTTTGGTAAAAAAAAAATTTGATTATATAAAACTTTAGATTTAAGATATGATGACATGGGTATGGGCACCACAACTTTAATTTGGTAGATTCAGTTGTGACCATCCTTAACCTTCAATTCTTTACAATGATGGTAATGTAGTTTGAAGTCATTTTGTAGGTAGATCTAATGTCTTATGCCACCCAAAAAGAGAGAGAGTGCAGACGTAAACTAAGAATATAATAAAACTTTAAAAAGTTTGAGGTACAATTGAATCATTGCCAATAATCCCTTTGTTTTATGCGGAGTAAATACCCAAAATGGTCCCTCGACTATAGCTAAATTCACAAATTAGTCCTCAAGTTTTAATTTCAACCAATTAAGTCCTTAACTTTGCAATTTTAACACAATTTGGTCCTCCGTCTATTTGTCTGTTTGTTGACCGTGATATTTGAGGATATATATGTAATTTCACGTGCAAGCTCAAAAGAATTTTGACCGGTTCAGCTTGCCTACGTCGATTGGAGTCACGACTTTCTTGAAGAGCCACTCCAGGGACTTCGTCGATCTATCTATCAAAAACTATAATCTCTCCAGCATGGGGTGCAGCTCCGGCCTGATCTCGATCGATCTCGCACGTGACCTCCTGTACGTGCACCCCAACTCTAACATCCTGGTGGTTAGCACGGAGATGATTACGCCCAACTATTGCCAAAGGCGACCAAATTTGGTAGATTGCTTTCGGCAGTGGATTCAAATGCAAGATTGCGGTCTGAAAATGCAACCGGAACCTTAAAAAATCGACGATGGACCGTGAAATTACTTATATATCCTCAAAAATCACAGTCAACAAACGGTCAAATAGACGGAAGACCAAATCGTGTTAAAATTGAAAAGTTAAGGACTAAATTGGTTGAAATTGAAAGTCGATGATCAATTTGTGAATTTAGCTATAGTCGAGGGACCATTTTGGATATTTACTCTTTTATGCGACCCCTCCTTTGTGAAGTATATGTTTGGTTTTTAATTACTTTTGAGATTCATAGTATCGATGATTGCCTACAAAGTTTCCCCCTCATTATTATAAGATTTATTACCAACGAGCTATGGCTAAATTTGTTTATAATTTAATTTTATATTAGTTAATAACATTTATATATTTTAAAAAATACATTACAAATTATATTCAAGTTATATAAATTTGTTAAATTATATTCAAGTTATATATTCAAGTTATATAAATTTGTTAAACAAGTAACAAAAAGTTGATTTCACCAAGCACTTTGTACCAAGTTGGTATATCTGTAGCTATTCTTTAGAAAAGGTCACAGGATCAAATTATCCGATGGTGGAGTATTGACTTTAATTTTGAACTACAATAGATAGAAAAAGTATATTGAATATATACTACCTTATAATATAGTTGATAGTACTAAAAGAACAAAAAAAAAATTGATTTCACTCGCTAAAATAAGATATAGAGAGTATTAATTAGTAACCTTAGACTAGGTGCTCTTTTTTTTTTTTTTTTTTTTTTTTTTTTTGATGAGAGAAATTTCATTACTGAAAGGTGTACACTGAGTAAATTAGATTTTTGTGTATAAATTACAAAAAAAAAAAAAAAATCACACTAAAGAGACCATGTTTGATGGACTCGGTTGAGATGGTGTTGTCAATAATTGAACTCTTTACCATTAGGTAAGATCGAATATTCTTTGGCCTAAGAGATTTTTTTTTTTTTTTTTTTTTAAATTTTCCTTTGTTTTGATAAAAATAGTAGAAATTTTAAAAAAATCACTATGTGCACTGAATAAACTTTGCATTGTGACTTTAACCGACAAAGGACCATAATGAAGTAAAGCAGTTTATGTTGCCTGATAGGGGATATGCACCTGGACTCGTACTTGATCGTGCCTTGTGGCTGCTCGGTATACAGGTAGGTTATTGAGGGGAACTCTTCCTGACTGTCTACCGACCTGGAACGATCTGGCCCAACCTCCTGTAAAGCGCCGACCGATGGTAGGTCAACGACCCTAATTCTCGTATTCCGGACTGTCCCAGTCATTTTAAGTTGGGAAGCAAGGTGAACAGTCCGACCTCCATCACTCCAAGAGTTGGCCAGCAATCCCATTAGCCTAATCCAGCGGCGGTAAAAAGAGAGAATATTAGGAATCTTAAGGCATGTGGTGAAGTTTGCAAGGCCTCCGCCCTGCCCCTTCATGAATGACACGTGTCGCACCTGTCGAGCTTCCAACATGTCCCCCCACCCCCCCGCCCCCAACTTATCTATAATAGCGCATTAAATGCAAAGAAGGGGGACTTTGAAAATCTAGCCTTACCAAATTTGAAAATCTCTGACCTCATTTCACTAACTGAGCATAAACCCTTAAACCAATAAACAGACTAATACTAAGCCGACCTACAATTAGATCTCGTATACTACGTATTTGTAGAACCTATAGAATTTACCACATCATTGTCTATAGCTTATTCCTTCTTAGTTTTGAGGTTATAAACTCATAATTTATTATTGAAAATTTTGAGAATATAGTTGATTATTATAAATGAAATACGGAGTACATGATAATATTTTTATTTTTATAAATAATAAAAATAAAATTGTTTATAAAAAATATCATTAACTCGTTTGATTGATCATTCATAATGGATATTTATACACATTAAAATTTGTCTCTATGGATTTGTTTTTCCAATAATTGAGTGAAGAATAAGGAGGAAATATTCCTCGAGGGTCGTAAGCAAATTTCGTCGTAAAAATATAGACCGTTAAAGTGTGGGGTGATGAGAAAGCGCAGGTCACGTGAAGGCGGTGACGTGAACCATACACGAACGTTGGCGATAACATACCCTGTCCCGCACTCACTCCCATACTATCATCACACACTCTTCTTCAACTCTTTTTCCCTGCACTCTCAATCTCTGCTCTCATGGCGTCGTTTTGTGCGAGGATCGATCCGACCTCCATTTTCATCTCCAAGCATTTCAAATCCGCCAGAAATGCCTTTCCTCTCTCTCCACCAATCCGATGCCTGTCCTTCTTCAACTCCCATTCCTCTAATTTCCCTCTCAGAAAAACTGCGCCTTCTTCTTCTTCTTCGTCTCCCATCTTCGCCGCTTCTTCTTCTTCATCTCCTTCTTCCTCCTCCTCTTCTCCTTCCGCTACCGTCGCCGAATCTCAAGCACTCAAGGTATTTGTTCTCTGTGTGTGTGTGTGTGTATGTACCATTGTACTTTGTGCGTTTGTTAAATTTTGATTATGTAATTGCAGATTAAATCGGTTCCGACAAAGCCAATTGAAGGACAGAAGACGGGAACTAGCGGGCTCCGTAAGAAGGTGCATGCAACCTTTTTATAAATGCCTTAATTTTGAATTTGAATTCGGACTTGATCGCAGTATATTTCGTAATAGAATCTGATTCTTATGTGTTTGGTTGTCTTGATTGTCGAGATCAGGTTAAAGTTTTTATGCAAGATAATTACCTTGCAAATTGGATTCAGGTTTGGGGTTTTGTACTTTATTCGATAATGGATTCAAAATGATCGTCTCTTTTTGTACTAATAAGTGGAGTGTGATGATTTGATATGAACAAGGCATTGTTTAATTCGTTGGAGCTTGATGATTATAAGGACAAGTTGTTGGTTCTCGGAGGTGATGGCCGATATTTTAATCGCGAAGCTGCACAGGTAATGGCTAATATGATACTTTGTTTTTATTTCATGTGTTTAAAGGAGTTTGCATATCATATATGTTGCTATTTCTAGTTTTTATTGAAGCTTAGTTTTAATTGCAGTTAATCATTAAAATTGCTGCTGGCAATGGGGTTGGTCAAATTATGATTGGCAAGTAAGTCTATTGGTGTTTAATCTAGTACTGATAATATATTATGCTTTTAAAAAACAAAAAATTATAATTGATGGAGTCAATTTAACTTGTTATTGTAAGTGGCTCATGTATTTCTATTCTGTGCACCTATCAGAAATTCAAGAGTTTCTCTTTATCAGTTGTATTTTTAATTTATAATGGCTAATGTTTGGTTCTTTCCACTTATTTTTCAATTGTAGTTTTCCCTTGTTTGACTGTTACATTTCCGCATTGTCTACAACAGGTGCTTTTGGAGCTGAAAGATATTAAATGACATGTGCAATTGAATATGAGCCTTCTGTTTTAAAATATTTACTTGCATTCTACTACCCCTGATTCCCTGATCCTTTCCCCCTTCATGATCTTCACTCCTGGTCTATTTCCTAGATTTATCATACACCTGTTATCTTATTGTTTGTCCTGTCAGTAAGTTCTGCAGTCCTAGTGTGCAATAAATTGTTTTGCTTACTACTCTTGGTGCAATATGAATTAGAGAATCTGATCTTTTGTCTTGCAGGGATGGAATAATGTCTACTCCAGCTGTGTCTGCTGTGATACGAAAGAGAGAGGCAACATTCTCTTCTATTTGTTATTTTCTGTTTCTTATGTAATTTATGTTGGATAATTGACAATTGTATTGCGCCTTGTCTCTGCCACAAAATGAGTGTACAGGCTAATGGTGGCTTTATAATGAGTGCAAGCCATAATCCTGGTGGTCCAGAATATGATTGGGGCATCAAGGTAGAGTTCTAGTTCTTTAAATTTGATCCCCGGTTGCTATTTCTGATTATTTGTACCTTATGCAAATGTATGAAACTAATTTTTCTGTTAAATAAAATCACAATTTAGCCTCTAATTGTTTAAAGTAAGTGCATTTTTCTGTTAGATATCCTTTATATATTTTTGATATGATTGCTGTCATGCAGAATGGCCAAACAAATTTGTATGTAACTCTTTGCCAATAGGAGTATCAAATCTTGATATACATATCTAATTTTATCTTGCAGTTCAATTACAGCAGTGGTCAACCAGCACCAGAATCCATTACTGACAAAATATATGGGAACACGCTTTCTGTAGGTGCCAAGTCACATCTGTGTGCTTATTTTTTTGCATGCACATTTTCCTGTCTTTCTTTAGTGAACCATGTTTTTTGATGGTTATGGATATTTTATAAAATGGTTCTGCTTCCAAACTGTTTATTTTATAAGGGTTTTACAGATTTCTGAAATTAAGATGGCTGACATTCCTGATGTTGATCTCTCTCAACTTGGAGTTACTAGATATGGGAATTTTAGTGTTGAAGTGGTTGACCCAGTAGGTGACTATTTGGAGCTAATGCAGGTTAGTGCCAAGGAAAATACAATTTTGAAATTTAAAGTTAGAACTCTCTATTTGACTTTGAATTATTTGCAGGAAGTGTTTGATTTTTCACTTATCAGAGATCTTCTTTCCAGACCAAATTTCAGGTATCCTTCATATGTATATTTTAAAGTCCCGTGAACATATGAATGCACCTATTATTTGTCTATGAGTGTGTGGCTCTTTGTTTGTTTTTTGGGGGGTGGGGGGTGGGTGAGGGGATGGACTGATCTGCAAAGTCTAATATTTCATGAGAACATCAGTTGCAATCAGACACAATATGATGTTTTGTGCAGGTTTGTGTTTGATGCCATGCATGCTGTGACTGGTGCTTATGCAAAACCTATTTTTGTTGACATGCTAGGAGCTAGCCCGGTATGTGAAGTGATTACATAACTTGTTGGATGATCATTAGAGCTTCTGACTGTAGAACGTGAGCTGTGTTCCAATGTGTAGGAATCTATTGTTAATGGCGTGCCTCTTGAAGATTTTGGACATGGTCATCCAGACCCTAATCTTACGTAAGAAACTGATTCTTCTTCTAGATGCTTTTCATAGTTTTCAAAAGGAGTTTATAACTTGCTTGTGTTTTGGGATAGATATGCGAAGGATTTGGTCAATGTAATGTATGGCGAGAATGGACCTGATTTTGGTGCTGCAAGTGATGGTACGCGTACAAGATCTTGAGGATATATAATTACACTACCAATAGTCCAATACAAATAGTACTAAATTAGTATTGTTATGTCATATTTATACCAATATGTGGCAATCTCATCCCTTGTCTGAGCTAGGAATAGTCATATTTGCAGGATATTTCTTATGCATTACTAAACTAATGAGCCTAGTTAAAGTTTTATTCACTTCTCATTGGGTATAAGAATAGTAAAGCAGTTGGTTTATCGAAAGAACCCATTTCTTATGCAGTAATTCTTCTACTTCTTCTTCTTCTTCTTCTTCTTTTTTTTTTTTAAATTTATTTTTTTCAGGTAGGTAGTTAAGACTTAAGAGCATTGGTTGCTCAGTCATTTTGAGCTAGAAACTAATATATTATTTTACTATATCCATTCAGGGGATGGTGACAGAAATATGATTCTAGGAAGGCAATTTTTTGTTACTCCATCAGATTCTGTAGCAATTATTGCTGCCAATGCAAAAGAGGCCATTCCATACTTCAAAAGTGGTCCCAAGGTCAGCATTCAAGTATTTCTGTGCCCTCTTTAAGTCTTAACCTTAAAGTATTTTAGATTGTTTACATTCAAATTTTATAGGGATTGGCTCGCTCTATGCCCACTAGTGGTGCTTTGGACCGTGTTGCGGAAAAGCTAAATCTTCTGTTTTACGAGGTTAGCTGTCTTTGATAAACTTGTGGAGTGCGTGTGTGGTTGTTTGACCATTCTAAACTATATCCCAAGATAAGATTCTTTTCTTTTAGGTTCCAACTGGATGGAAATTCTTTGGGAATCTAATGGATGCAGGGAAGTTGTCAGTTTGTGGGGAAGAAAGTTTTGGGACAGGTTCTGACCACATCCGTGAGAAAGATGGTATATGGTATGTGTTTGTGTCACCAATGATGAGTTTCCTTCTCATTTATTTGACTGCTGGATTATGTTCCAGAATTAGTTTATTTCCTAATGTTCTCTAGTTTTTATTTGTGGCATGCTATCGGATTGCTTATCATATGCTTACATCTTAAATCATCTATATTATCATGACTTACAAAAGTAAGTTTGTGATACATTCCATTCATTTCCCTCGATTATTAATTTATTATCATATTATCTTATAAAAGTTTCTTCTGTTGCTCATCCTTTTTGTCTGTACATCTTGTGTTAGCTTTCTTTCCTTAGGAAGTAGGTTAATTCTGATAAATTCTTTTAATTTTTTATTTTTATTTTTTTTTCTATAGATCTGATGCTTGTCCTCCACAATATTATCTCTATCACCAGATTTTAAACAAATTGCTCCATATGAAATTAATCTTTAATTACTTATAACTTTTCTGAATGTGACAGGGCTGTATTAGCTTGGCTTTCAATAATTGCATATAGGAACAAGGACAAGAAACCAGGGGAGGAATTGGTTTCTGTTGGTGATGTTGTCAAGCAGCATTGGGCAACTTATGGGAGGAATTTCTTTTCTAGATATGACTATGAGGCAAGCATATTATATGTTGGTTTATAACTTTGCTTGGTATTCCACAAATGAGTTATTCACCATTTATAAGATTTGTGAAGTATGGAATTAGTGGACTTCTGTTTTCAAGCATGATATTTTGTCTGTCAGGAATGTGAATCTGAAGGAGCCAATAAGATGGTTGCATATCTTAGAGAACTAATCTCTACCAGTAAGGCTGGTGATAAGTATGGTAAGCTTGCTTCACACATTTGGCAAAAGAATTCCAGACCTTGAATGCTTTTCACTTACTAAAGCATTTTGTGTGTTTAGGAAGTTATATCCTCAAATTTGCTGATGACTTCTCCTATGTTGATCCAGTAAGTTTTATTTATTTTAATTTTAAACTGCGATATAGAGTGGCTTTCTCTTTTGTCCAACTCAATTCATATTATTTTCTCTCAGGTAGATGGAAGTGTTGCATCCAAACAGGGGGTTCGATTTGTGTTCACTGATGGATCAAGGATCATCTTTAGATTATCGGTCTGCATCAGCCTCCTATATTTTTATACTATTGCTTATTCTACTCCCTGCAAACAATACCTAGATTATACTTTTGCTACTGTGATGGAGATTACTCAATAATATAATTTACAGGGTACTGGTTCTGCTGGTGCAACAGTAAGAGTGTATATTGAACAGTTTGAGTCTGATGCCTCGAAGCATGACGTGGATGCCCAAATTGCATTGAAACCATTGATAGGTGAGATAATTTTATTTTGTGTGCTCTATTCTCTTAAATTTCTATTACTAAATTTATATTATGTTTCCAGACCTCGCTCTGTCTTTATCAAAGCTAAAGGAATTTACCGGAAGAGAGAAGCCAACTGTTATAACATAAAGAACACACTCAACTTTAATTTTATGCCTGTTGGAAGCATCTCAATGAGAACTGTAGCAGGTCGCAAACTCCCTCTTTCCTCTACTTGTTACATTATGTATTGTTTATTCTTCTTGTTGTATGGTAGGCAGTCTCTCAAGGACATAAATTAGCTTCATTTTTTTGAATCTGTATAATTTTGTCTGCGCAAAATTTAGATACAGTATATGTTCTCAATAAAATTTTCATGTCTTATCACTTCTAGTATACGATTCTCATGTTCTTGAATCAACTAAAATACATCTCTTTTCATACTGAGAAGTGTGCTTGGATACATTCTACAATTTAGTGTCCATAAATTCTTTCAAGTCAAATTGTTTATTAGTACTGGGACGAAGAGTCGCTGATGAGCTGGCTCATGTGCTGTAAAACAAATATTGCTGATGAAGGTTATAACCTCCTTGACCTTAGAGAAGAAAAAAAGTCAAGGAGACTTAAGTATATGCAGTGATCTAGCCATCAAGGATAGGAAAGATGATGAAATGTTTTAACTTTTAAGAACCTTGGTTGGTTTCAAAGATATTCTTCCATGGTACTTCTAATGTACAAGCAAGTGAAATCGGACAGATGCTGAATGGCTGTGTTAGGAGAATTATATATAGATGATGATTTATTCAAGAGATCAAGTGAGGGTTTCAGCCTCATATTATGGGTCTAAATAGGCGTGCTACATACAGTGGGGAGACTATATATTCAATATCTCCTGATTATCATTTTTAATTGGGAAGGAACAATAGTTTGAAGGCTTTTATTTTCAAGACAAGAAGCATCTATTCACAAACATGCATTTAAATACAGGATAACTATATGGTGGCAACTGAGTAACCAATTTTTATGATGCATGTCATTTAATGGTTGATCTGAGAATTTGGATGGTTACTTTAGAAGAAAAAGGGTTCAAACTCTGTAGAACTAAAAGCATCTATATGCACTGCAATTGTAGAACAGTCGGCACTAGAGAAGAAGTGTTTAACTAGATAAGTGGAGTCCACAAATTCTATGGATTTTTTGTACCCTTGTTCCTTTTCATGATAGAGAAGGAAAGGTAGGCCATAATTGTAATCTTAGAATTGCCAGGATAAATTGGAGAAGTGCTATGATTATATCACCCAGTTAGAGTGGAAGCACCTCAACAATCTCAAAGGAAAGGCACTGTTGGTGTGACAAATATGGTGGTAATATTTGCTTATTTATCACTGAGTATGTTTCCTTGTCAATGCTCACAGTTATATCAAATTGCTCTGGATTTGCATTTTAGTTTCTACCACACCTGCAATTTATTTGTCTTTATGTTTCTTTGTTGGTGTGGCGAATATGGTGAAATATGATTGTATTATCACTATTATGTGCTTATTTATCACTGAGAATTGTCCCTTGTCAGTGCTCAAGGTTTTATCAAATTGCTCTGTACTTTTACTTTGGTTTCTACCACACCTGCAATTTATCATTCATTATGTTTCTACCACTTCAGACATAATCTTTATTATTGCATATTTGCATGTGAGTGTCATGGTGCATCTATTTTGTGCTAAATGATCTGAATCAGTTCAATATTGTTTTTGACCAAAATTTGGAATTGTCCTCAATATTTTCATAAATCAAGATTCAAGTTGCTCTTTCTGCACTTACCCTTCCATGACTGTTTATCTCAGCCATGAACTTGACCCCCTGTGGGATTCTAGCTATGACATTCTCTGTTATCACATCTAGGTCGATGTTTTGGATTCTCTGCTCATTCTGCACTCTTTATAATGTAATGGTTGAGGGTCACCTCAGTTGTTCTCTTTTGGGTAATCATATTTCCATGATCAAATTCATCCAATGGTAGGTCCTTGTCCTGTCCACTATGTATTGGAAAGTCATGTGTACAACTTACTCTTAGGCTAGAACTAGCCACTCTGAATTGTTTCTCGTATGTCGTAATGCACTGCACTTAGTTCTTTTGCGTCCAGTGACATCTTGATGGCGCAGCATGCACTACGAACACAAATAGGTTATTGCAGTACTGTTTATCCCCAGGATGTCTCTTCTTTTTAAGAACTTTTGAAAGTTGGAGATGCCTCGTAGGCTGAGTAATTTCTTCTTATGGAAAGGTATCATATGCTTTAGCATGGCTGCTTTAGATGGTGGCTTTCCTGCAAAAAAAAAGTGTAGCATATATCATAGTGTGTGTTTCATTTTCTGTCTCCCAACTTTTATCATCACCTATCAATCAATCATGGAAAATTCTACATTACTTTAGCAGCACCATGCCTTGCCGAGTGTTGCTCCGAGTCTACCTCTTGTTTGCTAGTTGTAGCCTCCCCGATACTCTAGCAAAGCGTGAGGATATAACTCTGGGCAACCCCGACATTGGTGCCACTTATGTATTTCTAGTTTACCTCTTCTTTGCTAGTTGTATGTTAGCCTCCCGAGTACTCTAGCAAAGCGTGAGGTTTAACCCGGGCAACCCCGACATTGGTGCCACTATGTATTTCCAGTTTTTTGTTGTTGTTGTTGTTGTTGTTAAGTTATGCTTGGTATACAATGCAGACTGAGGCTAAATATACTTGAAATACATAACTACATTAAGATGTTATACTCTTTAGTTGTCTATATACACCTGAATTGTATGTAACAGGCTGTCTGGGAGATTGGTGCAGTTCTTTTAGATAGTGTGTAATGATTTCATGGATGAGTTTTCTATGAACTGTGAACTGATACTGCAGCTTTGGATGCCAGCTTTAAGTTGTAATTTAGCAGGAATACAAAGTCTTGAAGGGAAAAAGCCTTATATTATTATTAAAGGTATATTATTTATGTACTAAATGTACATTATTTGATAGTATATATACAAAGTAATGTATTTTTAGTATTCAAATAATGTATTTTCAGTACACAAATAATAATGTATCTTTAGTATATTAAAAAAGTATTTTTTATTCATGGTTCACATTACTACCATGGTCCATGGAATAATAATTAGATTCTATTTCTATACATGCATATCTTTGAGGATAGAATTGGTGTAGCCTTTTGTTGTTATGGCAAATTATATCATAGACCAGGGATGACATTCAAGTTATGTATCGGTCGTTAACTGATTATGTGCCTGTAAATAAATTGAAGGTATATAATATTATATGCACATAATATGTTAATGACTGGAACATAATATTTGTAGTTAACAAATTATGTGCTTCTATTTTATTTAGAGGCATATAATTTATTAATTAAATGCATATAATATGTTGACTGCAAATACATAATTTTTGAATTAAAATTCACAACGTAAGGTGGATCTTGGCTCATGGTATAACAATATAACAATTGTGTTGTCGATCATTGTCTACTTTATTTATTTATTTCTTTTGTGCGCATTGGTACATTAATCTAATTTAAGTTTGATTAAACCTTTACGTAACTTAACCCTCTTTTACTTGAGCCAACATAATGTCTTTTTTTTGGGGGTAATTGGTAATGTCAAAGCAAATTATGTCTGTCTTGTTTTCAAAAAATAGAATGTGAGTGTTTGGCAAAGCTTATTTGTGAATTTATATTTATTTTAAATCACAACTGAACTTATTTTGAAAGATTAAATTACGTCAAGTAATATTTCAAAAATAAATTTCTAGTTTTTAGTTCATTTTTCTCCTTATTATTTAAGAAAAATGATACCGTATATATCTCCTAATTAAAATTCTATTCTCTTCCCCTAATTTTCTCATTTTCAACGTCCATCCCTCTATTTTTTTAAGCTTCTCAACAATAATACATAATATACTTTTTAAGTTTTAAGTTTTAACATAATGTTTTTTTTTTTTTTTTAATTTACTTCGTCTTTTAATGTAATTTTTGAATCTTTAATATCTCTTTTTTTCCCTGACTTTTTTTTTTCTTTTGTATAATTTTTATGTTCTTTCTCATTTTAAATAATATGATTTTACGTTTTCAAAAAAATAATAATAATATGATTTTACATGTATTGAGAATATGCATTAATTTTTCCTAATAATAAGAATTAATTGCAATATATATATATATATATATATATATATATATATATATATATATATATATATATATATATATATATATATATATATATATATATATATATATATATATATATATATATTTTGAAATACTCATGATCCCCACTACTAGGTATTGAACCCTGTGACCACTCATTTGGAATGCAAATAGAGGTGTCACACATGGTAGGTTGCATATGTATATCTATTTAAATTTGAATATATATAAATTTATACATACATATATATATATATATATATATATATATATATATATATATATATATATATATTTCTTTTTTTTCCCAATTTATAACAACTAATTTTGTCAAGTATTTTTAACAACAATTAACTAATTTTTTTTTTTTTTTTTGGAAAGTTACTGGCTCTATTACATTGTAGTATCTGTTCATAACAATTAACTAATTTAATAGTCCATAAATTTCAACTTTTAGCTTATAATTTCTCAATTTTCAGAGTTTAGCTAATTAAGCTTGCTAAGCGTAGCCTAAATGTAGTTGATATTAAAAATTCACAAATATTGTGGTCGTGCTGAAGGATCTCCAGTGCTATAACCAGTTGACATGTTGGGGTGGCACGCTAGAGTTGGCATGGTGGGGTTAGCTGATCCTACTAACCCCACCATTTTTAAATACAAATTTTGATTGTTCATTTATTATTATTATTTGAAAGAATTATAGTCTCAAAATGTTGTTATGGGTTTATGAAATCAAAAGAAGAAAATTAATTATAAACCTTCAGAGCGGCACTTCTCTACCATCTATACATCCTCAACTCCTCGAGGAGGGCTAATGGTAGATGAATATGGTTGGCTAATGAATATTGCATTGTAAGGTTCTAATTGCTCATGTACTTAGACTAGCATTAGTTGATTCGGTATTATTACTTGGGTGAGTGGCCATTACGAGAAGGAAAATATAATGTATAGTAACCCTACATTTACTACTCACAAACTTGTTATACTTTTGATGTAGTCAATGTTGCAGAAGGCGCTAGGCGCTAGTCGAGCGCCTAGGCGGCCGATTAATCCAAGTATATCGTCTCTACTTTTTTCACTCAGGATTAGAAGTTGTTAGACTGTTACAATCCCCTAAACTAGTCAACTACATATGTTAGATGGTTAGTTGAGTATGGAGAAATATAAAAGAGGAGTAGCTGAGCAGACAAAAAACC